GAGGGTTTTATCAAAGTCAATCAAGGTCATTACTCCTTACCTCTTATGAAGCTGAGAGGATTCCCAATTAATAAATTCTGGATGTTGAGGATCACTCGAGAATCCTCGACGCACCTTGGAGCATGGGCGTGTTTCAATGTTCGAGACTGTAAAACCGACCAACACCTTCAGTAATCAAACTCGTATTCTACTTTGTCAGCATGACAGACATTTACATCCTATTCAAACCGTCAACATATTCTGCACACGAGAATCCATTTAGTTGTGTTGCTGCGAGTATTTAAAACAGAGGAATCAGGAATTCATTACTGATAATCTGATAGGAAATCAAGAACATTTAGCACAATCATCACAGAATCAAGAAGCATTAATAAACTACCAAAACATGTCTCATACAGAAAGAATTCGAAAACAGATTTACCTCCAAGAATGTTTCTTTCTGTCCAAAGTCATAAGTGAAAATTCACCAATCATATTCAGCTCCTATCCAAATGAATTCAGCAGTAATATCTCAATAGGCTTTGTTTAGCCAGTGGCTCCTCGCGGCAAGTACCAACTATGCGCTTGACAGTGTGAAGTTTTTTTTCCATAACAGCAGCTCACCACCCTATTCAAGGAAACACAAGGTTTGCAATATCTGTAGAGAGTAGTGGATGTATCTGTTGTTTACCCTTTCCAAATCAACAAAGCTCAAGCAAATCGTCAAGGTCACCGAAATACTACCGTTCATGAAGGTCACAACGTCCGAAGAAGCCGCTAAACTCCATGCCGTAATCCCGTCTTCACCACTGCCAAAAAGGAAAATAAACTTCAGCTGAGTAACACGACGTAACCCAACATAATCAGTGAACTAAACGGAAATGGAAGAACATAAGAAGAGATGCCATTAACAATGGTATCGTAAAAGCGAAACCACGGAAACCTTTTTGTATCCTATGATGGAGATTTGACGACAACAACTTCGAACATATTGACATCGAGTTTCGTCTCGACACAAATGCTCCTTCGAAGGAATATAAGCAGCAACCTCACTTTCACACTTTTCTTTAAGTTTCTCCGAAGCTAACAAATCCTGAGCAATATGCCGTCAAAGCTTCGTTGCGCCGCTCCAAACTCATTTCCAGTTCAAACTTACAGGGGAAACAACTGCGTTTAATCAGAATAAGTAGAAAGTACCAAGGCATGACCTTAATCACGACAATAGAAGAGGAAGATGTCAGTTGAATCGAGAACGAGGATCAGATTTTCTTACCAGTCTCGAATGGTTATGAACAGGGTGCCATAAGTGGTATCTCCACCTTCAAGTTTTCCTGGCACAACTGGAGCCACCGATGCGGATTTGTTCGGGTACTGAGAAGCCAAGTCCACCATTTCAAATTGCGCACACACTCTGAGTAGTTTGTCCTCAGAGATGACTGAATGGATCGGCCACCGCACCTTCAAAGACCTGTAATCGAACAATAAATGTGCAATCACAATTTGAGATCATAGACAGGTTTCTAATACATTCCAAAACAAGTGAGAACATGTTTCTCTAAGAGTGGAAAGTAATTTACCATATTGGCCACAAGATCAGAGATATCAAACGAAGATGGAAAGTACAATAAATCCTGCACCAAAGAGTTGAATCCGCGTGTACCTATAAAAGAGAGAAGAACTGAGATGAACAAGGACGGACTCGGAGTTCACGAACAAATTCTAAACTCAGAAACCCCAAATCCCAAAGAAACCTAAAAAGTAATTTTGCAAAGAAAAGGTTAAAGAACTCATCTTTTTTTCGAACTTCCGTCCACACGTCACCGAGAATCATAACCGCAGAAAGATCCTTTAGCCACTCTCCGTCCTTCGCGGGTAGCCGTCGAACCTATCGGGAACACCATTGCGAGTCCACTCATGGGGATCACGTCATAGCCGCCATCATCGCCGAGAAGCCACCCGCCGCGAACCACTGACGCATCTTTGCTCTTGGGTAAACATTCTTAATCCATCGGTTGTTTGATCTGATTAATTGCTCTTTTGTTGTTTTGTTTGTTCACAGATTCAAGTACCATCGAAGAAGATGACGAAAAGGGAGGAAGTTGCAGAAGGCAAGAAAGGGTGAGAGGCAAAGAATAACGGAGGGAAATCGAGGGTGAAAAAGAGAGAAGCCGAGACGAAATCGGAGAGGGAGAGACAAGGAGGCAACGGCGAAGAAGGGGAAATCAGTTTGGGAATTAGGGTTTCTGTGTTTCTTTTTTAATTTTTGTTGTAATTCGTAATCACATGTACACACAGTCACCATTCACTCACGTGCACCCAACTAATCCAATCCTTAATCATTCTCTAATTAACCATTAAACCACCACTAATCTTAATTAACCTTTTTAAAAAACCGATTTATGTTAATCAGCCTTTTTAAAGACAACACTTTTTTTTTATCTTTTAATTTAAAACTATTTTATTTAATAACTATTAACCCTTTAATCATCAACCTTAACCTTTTTATTAAATATAGACTAATAGCTAATAATTGAATCTTTTTTAAATCAACCATTTATTAATTAAATAACTTATTTTTTATTTTGTAAACTTTAGCCTTTTAATAATTATTTATTTTATTTTTACTAACTAATTAACCTAATAATTTTAATAAGACTCTTTTAAATAATAAAATTGATAACCCTTTTATAATTAATTAATACTTAAAATCAACCGTTTTATTAATTCCTTAAATAGTATAATAATTATCATAAGTTCATTTTTCCTAAATAATTTACAACTAAACATTATTGCAATAATAAAATTCTTTATCTAAAAAGTACAACTTTTTTAAAAACCTATTTCATAATAATTCAATTAATTTTTTATTTTTATCTATTGACCAACTTTTCTATTCAAATAAAAAACTCCTTATTAATCAAACTTAATCAATCCACATTCAAACCCTTTTTGCTAATAAAATTAAATTAACATTTTCCCGAAAATCGACTTTGTAAATAAATCTAATCTTTTAAAACTAATAAATTAAATCGAATTTACTTATAATTTGTAATCTAAATATTATTTTTCTTATAAATCAATTTAACTAAAATCGATCAACATCGAAAATACAATCAATCGTGTTCACTCACATTCACGACACACTCACTCTCACACACTTCAGCGCTTTCATGCATATGTGTATGTTTTACCTATTTGCCCCTTTATTATACCGCATTTATCTTTACCGCATTGCATCCGTCCAAAGGAAAAATCTACACATAAGTCAACACTTGTGTGTAGTTCATATCATTTGCATCATAATCCCCTTGATCCTTGATCCCATTCAAGTCGATCTCTTTAGGATAGATCCTACCCCATAGGAAGGATCGTTATCTTTACAACTTAGATAAAAATAAACTCAATCAACACTACAACAAATAATCAAACACAATAGAGAAATAGATGTTAATCATCTTAAGCGAGATAGAATATCCACCCCACATCAATACAATCAATATCGTATGAACTTTGTCTTAAGAGAGATAGAGGCGTACCTCGTCGATCTATATCCGAGTACTTGAGCCCTTCTCTTAAGACGATGCAAAGACTATTTTCCTACAACTTGTGGCGGTTAAATCTCCCTTAAAATGATAATGCGTCTCTTCTCCTAAAATCAATCAATCAATTACCCTAAACCTGTAGGAACTTTGACCACAGTCAAAGAACTCCTCTAACCCTTTAGGAGAACTACAGATACTCTGATTCCACTCCCGTAAGGATATGTAGGCATAAGATGCGACATCTTATCGAGTATACTTAGAAATAAACCCCCTAGGTCTGTAACCATTAAGCAGATAAACCATAGCAATAAACAAATACAAAACAAGAGGTTCCTGTAGAGTACTACAGAAACTTAGGATGCTAGCACCTTCCCTAAGTTTAACCAACCCCCGAACCTAAAACTCTCTAAACCTTGCATTTGCATTGCATTGTGGGAATTTCGATCTTTATCCCTTCCTTTGGACAAATCAAAGTTCGGTTGCAAAATGAATTAAAGATTCAAACTAATCAATAGTTTGGTATCCGATTTTCACCGCGACACGCCGGAATAACCGTCTTCCAGAGAGACTCAAGATGGGAGGCACATTCTGAACCATTATCTTGTTCAGATAAGGAGGAATATAGAACTGAATAAAAAGAACTAACCTTGAAAGACAATGAATCATGAAGAAGCCACCGCCATTTGTCGGACTGGCCGGGGGTAACTGAGACATTTTCCAGCAAATTACAACAATCTGACCAGTCTGGTTCAGGAGGGATGTCTGAGTCAATCAACGAATCTCGCAGATTCCAATTCGACTGCCCTTCCTCCCAATAACCCAAATCATTGATGGACACTGTCTTCATAGAGCAACACTGAAACAATCCATTAAATGTGACTTTAAACGGCAGTTCACCAATCCAAACTGACTGCCAGAATGCCACATCGTTACCGTTGCCAACGGAACAGGCCGTGAAATTGCAGAAGTTGGATTGAGAGTTTAGTGACGCATTGATCATAATATCCTTCATCCACAGCGAATTAGATTTCTAACTATCAACATCGGGATAAGTTTGCATCTTAATACTGAGGTTGTCGTATCTGTTAGTAAGGGTCTTTCTCCATATTTCATTGCCGCTAGTTTGGAACCTCCAAAGCCATTTTGCCAACAAAGCACTGTTGAACCGACCCACATGCTTAATCCCTAGATCGCCTTCTTCCTTAGATTTACAGACAGAATTCCAAGAAACCCAAGGGATAAAAGATTTGCTCGAGTTCCTAGCCTAAAGGAACCGACGCTGGATCGCTATAATATCCTTCACGACATTAAGAGGAGCCTTGAAAAAAGCTAGATAATGGATAGGCAGATTAGCAAGGACCAAGTTAATGAGAGTGACTCTGCCCTCTATAGACAAGTTTCTCCCATTCCAGTTGGAAAATTTATTCCTCAGACACATCAGAATCGGGTTCCAGAAAGAGTGACGACGGTGATTGCCTCCTACAGTGATACCAAGGAAACTAAAAGGCATCTTTCCCGATTTACAGTGGAGAAAGTCTTCAGCAGCCACAAGAATTCATGTTCTACATGAATCCCATACAAACAGCTTTTGGAGTAATTAGTTTTGAGACCTGAAGTTAATTCGAAAGCCCAAAGAATAGCCTTGAATTCCCAAACATTAGACACCGAACCGTCCCCAATGAGCAGAGTATCATCAGCGAATTGGAGGATACTCACTGTTGGTTGACCATCAATCTTGAATTGGGATAACATATTACCGGCAACCGCTGATTTCAACCACACAGGCCCCCAATTCACAAAGTTAGATTTCAACCACACATGCCTATGGTCTGAAACGTCTCTATCGCCCACCAATTGATTAATCAAAGAGAGCATGGAAATCGCAAGACCGTCCACCAAAAATCTGTCCATTCTACTTCTGCACTTGCCATTGGAGTTGAACCAAGTAAACTTATTTCCAAACACCGGAAGATCCGTTAACTTCAGCTCAACAATAAACTCGCTGAAAACCTTCATATCCCTAATACTATTAGCGCTTATACCTTTTCTTTCCTCCACAATCTTGACTTCATTGAAATCTCCCCCCACAATCCATCCAGCACCTGATATTTTACTTTTAATTTTAGCAAGATCCCTCCACAAATTCCTTATGTCAGCTGAACTGCGAGGTGCGTAAACATTAACCACAACCAGGTTTTGGTTCTTCCACAGGAATTGAATGCCCAAGAACCCAACACCACAGAAACTAGATAAAGCTGAAATTTTTGACCTATTCCACATTGTAATAATACCTCCAGATCTGCCAGAAGAATTAAGGGCTGACCAATCCATGTCATTATTTCTCCAAATACTGTTTGTTATACCGTCCTCCATAAGCGTAATTTTTTATTCCTGAATAAGGCAAATGTCGGCGTTGCCTCTCTGTAGAGTTTGAGAAATTCTCCTTCTCTTCAACGAACCGCAGCATCCTCGAATATTATAGGAAACGATATTCATAATCCACTGGTAGCTACAATCTTCTTTCCTAATCTAACAGCCTTGTCCTCCCTATCCATTTTCCTCAGAGTGTTTCCAAGCCCATTGTCTACATCGCCCTGAATCCCTAAATCCATCAGATAATTTCTCTGTTTGATTGGTACTTCATCAATGGCCCTTTTACAATGCAAATTTCCTCTTTCCTCATTTGTATCGGTTATAGATTCACCACATAAGAGTTCAGAGCAAGAATGAAGGGGTTTACTAATCCTCACGATCTTATTCCTTCCCTCCCTATCAGAAATCCCCTTCGAAGATTATGCGAAACCTTTTGAAGCCGCGAGTAGGAGATTTGAGAAATAAGATGGGGTGTATGGAATCTTGATGCAATTGTATATCTCATGAAGCATCTTTTTCTTTTTGGATTTTCCTACTAATTGTTGCACCCCAAAATTTGCTCAACCTTTCCTTGCCTGATTTGTGTTTCATTGCATTTCATTTGCATAGTTACATCATGTACATAGTCAATCATTTGCATATCATAGCATAGCATGCCTCCAACAAGGGATCAAGGGTGTCTATCAAGAGAAGAGCATAGTAATAGGTCTTATCCAAGTTCAAGAGATCATTCAAGCCATCAAGAAGTGATTTGAAGTCTTGAGAAGTTTGAGTGCCTATATGTGGGTTTTGCTCCTATCTTGGAGAATATTGAGAATCATCAGTGGGATGAGAAACATGGGATGTGAATTTGAGGTGTGTATGGATTTCATGGAGTGCCTAGAGGGCCATATGGAAGCTGAGACAAGTCATTGATTCAAGTACAAGAGCCACAGTTGAAGTGCAGTCAACTAGGGTTTCATCTGGGTCAACCCTAGTTCCATTGAGTAATTGAAGAGCATCAAAGCCTACTTTGAGGTCATGGGATTCATGGATTGGTATTTTGATACATGTGTGGTGTTGTGCCAAGGTTAAGCAAAGAAGAATCAAGAATGTGGGAAGTTGCTAAATTAGGGTTTCAGTGTAAAATCCCCTGTGTAGTGCCTAACTTCAAAGTCACATAAGTCAAAATAAAAGTTTCAAATGGATCTTTGGCCAACATGAAACTTTTAGAGCATCTCAATACCTTTAATTTGAGTACTAGAAGTCCTCAAGGGGATTTATAGAACTCAAGTTATGGTCCAGGCAAGTTACAAGTCATCAGATGACTATGAAATTTATTTGTGAAAGTCACTTGACTTCCAAGCAAATTTTGCCTTTCAAGGCGTTTTCAAATGGATTTTTGGCCAACATGAGAGTTTTAGGTCTTGATCTTAGCTTTCCATATAGTACTTAAAGTCCTTGATAGGAGTTGTAGAACTCAAGTTATGGTCTTTGCAATCCAGGGGTATTTTGGGTATTGGTGATTATAGGTCATTTGTGATCATAGGTCCATAACTCCAACTTGCAAGCTTCAAATGGAAAATTGTTCAACATGAAACTTGTTCAAAATGGTGTTTTGAGTGCAAACAAATGGTGTTTTGAGTGCAAACAAGTGGTTATGAGAGCTTGGATTGGCTTTTAACAAGAAGTTGCTTGAAATGGCTTAAAAAGGAAGAAAAATAAGTCAATTAAAGGCAAAAAAATGGAATTTAATGATTGGGGTCCAAACAAGCTCATGTTATATGTCAAATTGATCAGAAAAGGCATTTTAAAGATAATGACATTGTTACATTTTTTAATTGAGGCTTGGTTCCATGGCTTGCCTTTTAAAATGGTATCTTCAAATGCAAGTCACTAATCCAAATCAATAACCAATGCAATTCAGGCTGTGCTATTGACCCAAACACATTCCAAAATCAATTTTCAACTGAATGGAACCTTCTGGAACAAGGAATAATCCAGAATTCGCAACTGTCACATTGAGCTTCAAGAGCAAAAATCAGAATTTTGGATACACTGATTTGGGCCTCAAAGTGGATCAAAAAGCCCATGGAATCCTTCTATATATTGATTGGAGTGAGTTCAGACTCATTTTTGGTGATCAATTCGTGCTAGAAGATGATAGAGAAGGTAGAGTTTCAAGAGCTCCAACTCAGAATCGGTTTTTTAGATTTGCAAGCACAATCAAGCCAAATTGAAGATTGAGGAAGCTTCATCTTGCATCATTGAACATTTCTGGAAAGCTTTGAAGGTGGAATCGTGCTCCAAGTGCTTCTGTTAGTGAGTTTTCATCAGGTTAGTAACTTCCAAATTCTACATTGATCTAAGGAGAATTGAGTAGAATCTTGCATGTGGTTAGGGCCTAGGATACATAAGGATCGTTTCTGGATTGGTTTGGGAGCAATTAGAGACAAAATTAAGTATGATGCAATTTCTGTTGAAGCATATATCTTGAGATTCTTGAGGTTTCAATGGCGTTTAGATGGTTAGAATTGATGACTGAAACGCGTGGATGAAAATAGGATCTTTAATTTTAGGTTTTGAGTCAATCAAGATTGGAGTGAATGTCTGAACATTGGATCGGTTTTGGATTTTGAGTGAGAATCAATAAATTCTGAGGGCATATTCGTGATCAGGAGAGAATTTTGAGTAGGATAGGATGTTAAGTTGTTGAGTTTGATGCGTTTTTGGGTAACCCTCACCGGAGACGACGGTGGCGCAAAGCTCAGGCCACCGTCCCAAGCTTTCCCTCTCAGATTCAAATATTTGGAGAAGATGATGTTTCACTCGTTGGATCACCTTTGACTATTGACTCAGACTAGCAACCAAGGGCCACGATTTCGTTTCAAATCTGAAGAGAAGTGAGTTTAGATGAAACGCTTCGTTTCATTAAACTGATTTGGATGGGCTTAAGTGGACCTTTGCTACCCACACCCTGCATTTAGGCCCAGTTGGAATTACAACGAGAAAACCTTGCTATTTGACACACACATCTCTCCATTTCCATTTCATTTTCTGACTTTGTTTTAATTTGGTTTGGGCTTAAGACTCATTTGATACGCTCACCCACCACCCCCCCCTTTAGGCCCAGGTTTGGTTTACAACTGGTCTGTTTTGCTATTTGCAGCGCACATTTATCATTTTCATTGTTTTTTCTTTTTATTTTACATTTTGCATATAGTTAGGAAATAAATCACAATAAATAGGAAAATTAACATTTTTAAGCTAGATTTTTTTCCCCTGACTCCTTAAAGAGTCTAGAATTTTATAGAATTAATAGATTATTAATTCATGCATTTTAGAATTTATTTGCATTTTTTGTATTTTAATTGGTTTTATTTTGAGTTTGTTTGATGCTTGATCTTGTTGATTTTAGTATGGCCATTTGGTGTTGATTTTTGAGGTGATTCTTTTTGGGATAGATAGATTAGATATGCATGTACCCCTAGTAATTTTCTCATATTTTTGTGAGATAATTTTAGGTTGTTTTGAACATTGGACATTAAGTGGTGTAGATTTAGGGTTTTAGGGTAGTACCCTTAGGTTTAGGGCATAGTTTTAGGTCTTAATGAATGGTTAACCCTCTGGTTTTTGTATGGAGTGATTCTTAAGAGGTTTAGGAACCCTTATATTTTTTTGTAGGATTTTACAATCATTTTTGGTATTTTAATTAGATTTAGTTTTAAGGCTAACATTTAGGAGTTTCTAACACACTAATTTGACTAGTTTAATTCAATAGTTCCCCTTAGATTAAGGTGGTGGTGCTCTTGTGCTTGGATGAAGTTGAAGACCAATTTAAGATGCTTTGGGGATGCTTGAAAGAGTTTGGATATGAAGATTTCTCATCTTGTGGGTGCTTGTCAAGAGCTTAGGGAAAATAGGGTTTTAGGAAGAGCATTAGATTAGTTTTGCTTGTTCCTTCAAACATGGAGTATATTGTTCATCTCCATTCAATCCAATGACATAAAGTCCTCTTAAAGAAGTCACATATCTCCTTTGGAGGAATGAGTGGCATACTTTGGGAGTAGAACTTTGAGGGTACTTTTCTACTATAATGTTAAGTTCTCGGTGGCTTCCTTTGGTTGTCATTAAGTTACTTAACATTTCAACTTGATCTTGTTGAATGATTCTCCCTTGGAGGTGCTTGTTGGAGCTTGGTAAAGAGAAGGTTTAGTGCTTGTTGAAGCTTGTTGAGAATGAAGTTTGTGCTTGTTGAAGCCAGAAGCTTGTTGAAGCTAGGAGTGGTGCTTGTTGAAGCTAGAAGCTTGTTGAAGCTAGGGTTTTGCTGCTTGTTGAAGCTGTTTACTGGTTGAAGTTTGCTGGTTTAAGTTGGTTGCTTGTTGAAGTTTGAAGCTTGTTGAAGCTTGGTGCTTGTTGAAGATGAAGGTTGTTGCTGTCAACTCTCAGCTGTTTAATCAACTTGTTGCTGTCAGAGCTGCTGCTTGTGCTGTTTGCTGTAGGAGTTTGGTGCTGCTGCTTGGGCTGCCTCTTCTGCTTTGGGTTTTGTTTTTTGTATTGTTTGTTGGCTTGTGTTGCTTGCCCCTTAGGTTTGAAGTGAATGTTGATTCACTTTTCCTGTTGTTTTCCCAGGTTCGAGGTTGAGCCGGACTCCCTTGCCTCGCTTGTGTTGCTGCATTGCATGCATTTTACTGTATTTGCTTGCTTTCTTTTCTGTTTATCCCCTAGAATCTCTGATTTCCTCTGTGCGGGAGGGAATTATAACATACATTAGGATTCTTATCCATGCATGACAACATTAGGTTAATTTTTATTCCCTTTTCAACCCTAGGCTTTTTAGAGCTTCTTTCTCTTCTTATCTCAAAACAACTCAAAAATACAGTAATCAGGTTAATCGACGTCGTACGTTACGAGCCTTAAGCTATTTGAGAAAGGGTTGCTGGAGAGCTTCTTTCCAGTAGTCTGGCTGCTTAGTGTGGCACCCTTTGGGTGACACGCGACGTAGTCACTCTCAAATCATAGTCTCTAGTGCGTCAGAGATAGCAAACAAACTAAAAAACACTTCTTTCGTAAAAGATTCAAAACAAATATCAAAGTGTCATTTTTGTCCACTTGGACTCTTAATCAAGGAAAACCCTTTTTGAAGGTAATAAAAATCAGTCAGACAAGCTTGTGTCTTCCGTAGCCCGAACTACGTTTGCTCTGATCTTTTATGCTGTATGAAAGTACGTAGGCATAGGATGTCGTATCCTAGCGAGCAACCTCCCCTCCTTTCCCGTAGGTAGGCGAACTACGTTGACTCTGATTTCTCGTTCCAGACGGGAATACGTAGGCATAAAGTGCGATACTTTGCCGAGTCATTTTATTTTCCCTTTAACCCTTGACCTGTAGAGTAGATAGAATAACAATCCGTACTAGAAAACAAGCATGGATCCCTTCGAGTACGGCGGACGTGAGGGGTGCTAATACCTTCCCCGTGCGTAATCGACTCCCGAATCCAGGATTTGGTTGCGACGACCATTCCTTTCCCGTTTTGCGTTAGATTTACTCTGAGCGTTTCCTTTCCTTCTTGTGGGATAAATAACGCACGGTGGCGACTCTTCTGTCATAGCCGGCGCCGATTTTCGCAGTAGTGACACTAATGCAGGCCCAATAGTCCCATCTGGAGGCCCAATAAGAGGAACAGACAGCCCCAAGTCTACAACTTGATCCCCTATTAGGTTTAAGTTGTTGTTTTCCACCTGGATCTTGTTCTGTTCCATTCCAACCGAAGCATTAACAGGATTGTGACCCGCTGGAACTAAACAGTCGGCAGAGTTCCCAACGAAACTCCCTATAATACCTACACTTGCATCATTCATACCAGGGTTGTTACCAAATACAAACACAATATCAGATGCAGAAGGGATGTAGTCTGATCCTAGGCATTCAGCATCTGGTACAATCTCAACAGGTTCATTAATCGATGCACTGGAATCCCCACTCTCAGCCTCATCAGACTCCTCCCACGCGCCATCAAACTCTGAGGGGCCTGAAGATTCAAACTCATATGAGTCTATCAACTCGTCTTCTTCTCCTTCCCGCAAAAAATAATGGTCACCTGAAACTTCTTCAGTGACAGAAACATGGTAAGCAGCATCAAGCACTTTAACAGCAATCTTCTTATTTTGAATAACCCCTAAGTTCGTCTTAATCAGAAATCTCGCAGCATCCAAGCACTCTCTGTTACCAGTCTTCTCATCGCATCTGATAAAGGTTCCCAAGCTAGCAGATATCAGACGGAAGTTACTATCACACCAAGCAATGATGGGAATACCACTGCACACAACCCAGGCAAACCTATCTCTGTCCATCACCTCTTGGTCCCAAGGCCTGATCTCGCTGAACCATAACTCCAACCAATCACTAGCTTCTTTGATGAAAACCTCAATGTCTCCACCAAAACTGTCTTCCAACAAGCACTTAGAAGCTCCCAGTGGTATGGCCTTAATGTTGAAGAAGCCTTCTTCATTAATGATTTTTTGGATATTATAAGCATTTCCATCCTCCATGACAACTCCCACTCTCATACTTTTTAACCTTTGTAGCCAATCTTCATCCACCTCAAGGCAAGTGCAAGATCCTCCTTCCCAACTCTTGCTATCTGACCTAGGCACACTTCCACTTACCACATTTGCAAATGATCTAGCAGTTGTGACAAGCTTCACAAAGCTTCTTGGCCGTCCATACTTGCTATGCTTCCACGCCATCTCACTAACTGGATTCTTCAGCTTTTGTTCCAAGCTAAACCTGGGTATGTTAGCATGCAACTTCTTACCTTCCAGAACAACACTAACAAGGTTACACACTAAAACTCTGGGATCATGCACCTTCCTAAATTTAGCGAAACCGAATCTTCTACCTCTTTTGTCACGCCTCCCAGAGATAAAAACTTCTGATATGACTCCATACACCTTGAACACCTCAAACAAATCTTTAGCATTCATCTTGTCTGGGAATTCGGTAACGAAGAAAGACATTGTTGGTTCCCCTTCTAGAGCGCCTTTCCCATTGTTCTCCTTCCAGACTGAAATGCCACCATTCCATCCATATCTAACATTCCTACCAATCCTTTCCCAGACCATCAGTAACTGCACTCTCAATCCGATAGAACACTAGACGGCTACCAAGGCCCCTAAACTGTTAGAAATTTAAGCCGAAGATAACCACCTACTCTTCTGAAGATCGAGAAATGCAGCAAGCATCGAAATGATGAAGAGAAGAAAGTAAGAATAAGGGCATAAATTAGAAAGAATTAGGGATTAGGGATAAAAAATTGGGATTAGGGTAATGAATTTGGGGATGTCACTGTTCATGAATTGGGGAAGAATTTGGTCTTGTTGACTCAAGTTGAGTTTAGACCACTACGAATATGTCGTTACACATTGGGCTAAGTGATTTAAACAATATTTAATAGATCATAGTCAAATTTTGAAATTTGGTTCTTGTATATTTTTATCCCTTTGTCAAAAAGTTTTGTGCTATGATAATATATCACCTTCATGGTTTTAAATTGCGGATCGTATCACCTGATGCGGCCGCAATATTACGGTTGCGGTAGTGTCTGCATCCGCATCAGGCCGCAATTGTGGTGTGATTGTGAATTATACTAAAAACCACATCATAACGCTGCAACGACCGCATTTGTCCGCATTGAACCGCATCAGCCTGCAACAATAGAAGACATGTGAAACCTAATACATATAATAAAGTATACTATTTAAAAACTAAATTCACGCTGCAACAACCGTAATCCGCATCTCAGCCGGCTACAACCAGAACCGCATCCGCAACCGCAATTTAAAACCATAATCACAAGACATTCAACATGATTGCTGGAAACAAGCAGCGGACAATGAGCCCCAAACTCTTCATCAAATCAAACTTTGGATCATTACTTATCTACCACCAGTTAAGAAACCAATAGGATATAAATGAGTTTATAAAATAAAATATCATGTCGATGGTAAAATAGAAAGATACATGGCAATGCTTCTCTCAAAAGGGTATACTCTATAGATATTTTTCAAACTTATTCTTTGGTTGCAAAATTAACCTATTACACTGATTATTGCTATTTCATCTTGCAAAAATCAGCACTTGCACCGGTTAGATGTGCATTACATGGAGATTTGAAAAAAGATGTCAACATAAGTTTGCCTCCTAGACAAACAACTTCCAAATTCAAGCGAGTTTGCAAATTTACAAATAATTCTATGGATTGAAACAATGGTTCTCAAAACTATCAGCTACTTTGTTATCACTTAATTCTCTAAAACCGGTGGCATAATTAAAATACACTGTACCAGTGTTGTATGAATCTCCCTACTCAATCAAAAAGAGAAAACATGAAAAATTAAACTTAGCCGTAATGGAAATAATTGAACTGGTTTGGCCTCTGCCGCGGAACAATGTCAGCTGGAACAAATTCCGGCGGTTTTGCTAAGATGTTGTTCTCATGCCGAACGTCAGCGTAAGACAACACCGGTGAAAATACCTCATATGGTTTCGGTTGTAATGTCTCCGGTGAGAATGTATTCGATGATAGCCAAGTGTCTGATGTTGTCTGTGGCAATGCTGCCGGCGAGTAAATATCCGGCTGTATCCGCTGCCAAGGGTCTGTCGAGAAAGTATCTGATTGTGTCGATGGTGGCGACAGAATATCCGACGGTTCCCATGTGTCTGCTGATAAAACATCCGAGGGTTGCAAGGTGTCTGGTGATAAAATATCCGACGGTTGCCAAGTGTCTGTTGAGCAAATATCTGACTGTGTCGGCGGTAATGCCACCGGCGAGAAACTATCCGACGGTTGCCAAGTGTCTGCGAATAAAATATCCGACGGCTGCCAATTGTCTGGCAATAAATTATCCGACATTGTCGGTGGCAATGTCACCGGCGGCGATAAAATATCCCACGGCTGCCAATTGTCTGGCAAGAAATTATCTGGCTGTGTAGGTGGCAAAGTCCTCGGCGAAAAAATATCTGATTGTGGCAAAGTCACTGGCGAGAAAATATCTGATGGTTCCTTCTGCCAAGTATCTCTCAAGAAAGTATCTGAAGCTATAGGTGGCAAATTCGTCTGAGAAAATATCTCAGATGTTGTTAACGGCGAAAAGTTGTTATACTGGTTTTGCGGTAATGTTGGGGGCAAAAAGTTGTTATACTGGTTTTGCGTTAATGTTGGGAGCAAAAAGTTATTATACTGGTTTTGAGGTAATACAGGTGGCAAAAAGTTGTTATACTGCATTTGCGGCAATACCGGTGGCAAAAAATTCTCATATGATTTCGGCGGCAATATCTCCGGCACTGGCAATAAGATTCCGGGAAGCTGGCCCATTTGCACGCCAGTATCCAACATCCTCGTCATGTCATCATCTCCATTACTACAAGAAGACTTTTCTTTCTTCTCCGGACTCGTTTCTCCCGTCCAAGCAAGCCTCGCTGCGGGCGAAACTTTACTGACTCCGGTAGGTTGTTCCATTCCGGTGAGGCTTTGGACGACGTCTTTGAAGTCCTTGGGACTGACGTGGATGACTCTTTGAGGCACGGTATAGATAATTCGAGGCTCCACTATCTGCTTGATCAATTTCTGAGGTATTGGCAATGGCGCGTTCTTGGTGATCTTGTGGGATTCTTTTTTGACTTTGAGAGAATTTTGACCCGACACTGGACGTTCTTTGTTCATAAGAAACGAATATGGTTTTCCCATGGGTAAGTTCGGTGGGCTCATGGTGGTGGAACTGTGAGAGTGAGATTGAGAAGGTTGTGGATCCTAAACAAAATTACAAATTTATGAAAAGCTACGTAAAATATTTTGAGAGCATATTTCACGTAAAAAGTGTATATATTTGAGAGTTGTTGGTTATGGTAGTCCTGATTTCTTTCGGTAACATGACATATGGCTCAATATTCTACGTTGATTATAATATTTAAATTAAATATAAAAATTATATTACATATAAAAAGATTTAAATTATAATAATTGCAAAATTGATTATTAGAAAAATGAATTGAATACCTTAAAATAATATTCTACGTGTATTAAGTGACTTGAAATCATCAATAATAGAGTCTGAACTAATACATACACTAATTTCTCTTTTAATGTAAACAGTCATGATATTTGCTAGAAACCGACCTTTCATATTATTTCGCAACTTAATTTGGATAATTTTCATTGTCGAAAAAGATCTATTAGTCGTGGCAGTGGGAACTGGAAGAGGCAAGACGAATTAGTCTATCAACCAAGAATTAAATAGTATTCCTATTAGTTGCAACCAAACACGAGCATAATTTTTGAATAGTTGATAAATTCTTCAAATATGTTGATTGACGAACATCAACAAAAAACGGTTGAAGCTGAAATTGCAAAGTAATCTTCTCTTTCTCATTGAAATCCATAAGGATAATATTTTTCAACTAGAGTGCAAATAGTATCAATGTTAAAAGCTTAATAACTACCCTTAGGATTCAAAGCACAACTTAGAGTTAACAAATTCATTGCTTACTCAATAAATCTACTATTCAACTCTTATAATTGTTGATCAATAATAGCAAAAAGTATTTCAACTTTAAAGTATTGCTCTAGTGTGACCTGATTCTCTGCAAGACGATAGCGTACATATCTTATTGCTGAGTGAGTATCATCAAGATTAGGAATCTCAATATCATGTCTCACACAATAAGACATCACATTAGCATACAACTTATCCCAACCATTTTCTCTCAGCTCTTGAATAAGATTTTTGTTGTACGAACTAAAATCATAGCATTAACCACATCCTGAGATCGTTGTTGTAAAGCTTGACAAAGCACATCTGTTATCCCCGTAATTTCTTTCATCAAATGCAAGATCAATATAAAATCAAATTCCTTCAAGTAATTGTAACCACTATCAACATCCCCACGTGTACTATAATTTGCTCCTATCTTTGATAATGTTTTTAAAACACGACATGTTGCTTCATACATATTCATCAAGCTAGAAATAGAATTGAAATGTGATCTCCAATGAGTAGTCTCAGCTCGTTTCAAAGTCTCAATTTGATTTTCACCTTTACCAATAATGATCTCATCAATCTCCAACAAATGTTTAATTTCTTTTAATTGGGCTTCTTGTAACTCATCATGTCGCTTCGATGAAGAGCAAACAACTTTGACCACATAACTTAGTTTTTCAAAGAATTTATTTATTGGCTTGATTTCTCTTGAAGCTGTGACTAAAGCAAGCTGCAATTGATGATCAAAATAATGGACGTAGTATGCATAAGGACAATCCTTCATAAATAGTGCTTGTAAACCATTCCATTCTCCTCTCATATTGCTTGCACCATCATACCCTTGGCCACGAAGGTTAGAAACATCAAGGTTATGCCGAGAAAGTATATCACATATTGTTTTCTTAAGAGTTAACGCCATTGTGTCATTCACATGTGCCACATCAAAAAATTGTTCTTGTATTAAACCAAATTTATCAACAAATCTTAAAACAATAGTCATTTGTTCCTTGTTTGACTCATCACCAACTTCATCTACAAGGATATAAAATTTAAAATCACTAATTTCTTCACGATTATGATTTCTAACCATACTAGCAATAATTTACAAGAGCTCTTTTTGAATTTTATGTGAAGTATATTTGTCATTTTGTGGAGCATTATCCAACACAGCTTTTGCAACTTCATCATTATAAGATGTCAAGGGTCTTAGCAACTTAAGAAAATTGCCTTAATTTTTTTACTCGCTAGATTCATCATGGCCCCTAAAAGCACAAGCTTGAAATGTCAACCAACAAATAGTTTCAATTGAAGCCTTGAGACATAGTCTATTCTTCTTTCTTTGGCTTGAGCTTTTCTTTTGGAAAACATTCTCAATATGTGCCTTTTTATTCAACAAGTCTTGATAAGCTTCCATTGCATTATTGTGTGCCGAGCAAAGATCCTTCCCTATATGCTTAAGAAAAACACAATTATTTCTATCTCTCACACTTTTCCAACCTCTAAAATTTGTAGTAATAATGGCATCCGATCCAAAATTTCTACTTGGTCCTTTGTTAAAAATATAACATAGAAAGCAATATACAACATCCTTTAAAGGTGAACATTCTAGCCATGAATTAAAGATTTCAAACCAAGTTTCTTGAAACCATCTTGGATGATCCTCTTTGTCGGACAAAGGATATTCTTCTAAACATATTTGATACGGACCCCATTTCATATAAGCTATCCGTATTTGATCGATTTGATTTGGGGAATATTTCCATATTGAAGGACGCTTTCCAGGATCACCTTCTAAATAATTCAAAATATTATCTGAAACTTCAACTCATTGAGGGATAGTTGTTGTTACTTCTTGAATTGATGAAACTTCAACTCATTAAGGGGTAGTAGTTGTCACTTCTTCAATTGGTGGAGCTTCAACTGGTTGGGGCAAATAAGTTGTCACTTCTTCAATTCTTAAATTTTTAACAGGTTCTGATGTAGAAGCATTCTCACAAACTTTCCTCTTAAAAATTACTAGCGTTCAGACGGGCACTCTTGTGCCCGTTTGTCCGCTTTTTTAATGTTCAGACGTTTGAAAGTATAAACGTATTTTTCGTGTGTTTATTTTTTTTAATTTAAATTTTATATAAAAAAAATAAATTAAATAGTTGTGCAAGCTACCATAAAATAGTTAATAAAAAAGAATTTAGTAAATAAAAAGTTGAATTTTAAAATAAAAAACAAAAGGGTATAATTGGAATAAAAATAGGTTACACCAAATTCAAGTTTTCCCTTTATATATGTTATAGATTAATTTTTCTATTCTTCATCTTTACTTCTTCTGCTTTGCAAGAACATAATTTAGTCCCAACATAAATTATTTGAAAGTAATACTGAAATTCAATCATAATAAAACTTATTGTTATAAGTTTGTTGACATACTTGTTGTTATAATTTATAACACTAAAACCACAAGTTTTAATTTGTTGTTATAATAGGAGTGGTTATGGCAGTGGCATAATCAACAACATCATTCATTCAAAATTAACAATGAACAATCATCATCATTCTTAATTTCGACATAAATTATTTCAAAATAATATTGAAATTCAATCATAATAAAATTTGTTGTTATAAGTTTTTTTTGGTAGACTTGTTGTTATAAGTTATAACAATAAAAACATAAGTTTCAATTTCTTATTATAATAGGGGTGGTTGTGGTAGTGGCATCATCAATAACATCATTCATTCAAAATTAACAATCAACAATCAACAATCAATTCTTTAAGAACAACATTTTCAGAGTCAATTTCACCTTAAAATTGCTTCACAATACACAAAATTTCCAATAACAAAATCATTCATTTAAAATTAACAATCAGCAATGTGATGAATAGAGAGAGAGCTTACCTTTTTAAAAACAAAGGAGAAATGTCACAGTGAAGAGGGAGAACCGGAGAACGACTCGTTGTCGGTTTATCACTGCTGATGAACAATCTTAATAATGGAGATAGTGTCGTATTTAGAAAGATTGCCCATTGTCGGAGACAGAGAAGAAGCTTTAGAACAGAGCCAAAAATTTGATTTAGGTAATGAAATTGTGTTACGGTAGTAGGCTAACACAGGAAAGAAAAGAGAAAAACAAAGGGTTTTTTCATATAATAATATGATTTATATGGGTGTTATAGTAAATTCCTATAATATATAAATAAAATGGTAGGGTTCCTGACTTTCTTCTTCAACTTTACTAAAATTATGGCATCTCTGTTCTGAAAACAAAGAAGAATGCCTTCTAAAAATTTGTCTCTCTCTCTTTCTCAAGAAGTGTCTGGTAATGACAGAGAAGACACTAACATATCTGAATCAAAGGTTTATTCATACTCTTCGAAGAAGCAATGGAGACCTAAGTGTTGGTATGATAATTTCATTGTATTTAGAACGGCTACAACAATTAATAATTTTGGAAAGAGATTTTGGAGATATCCACACTATAGGGTAAGATCTCTCTTCTTATTCACCAATTTTATTTTGGCATAGTGGTTTATGATTTCTTGAATTTAGGCAGGGAAATACTAAAAATGAATATGACTATTTTGCTTGGTATTATAATGAAGTGAAAGATGATAAGAATATAGTTATCGTGAAGCAAAAAAAAAGTTTTAAGCTTTAGCAAAATAAAATGAAGATCTACATTATAAATTGGTCCAATGTGAAGGAAAAATTAAAAGACCGAAACACAAAATTGATGCGCAAAATCAAGAGTTAAAAGAACTTGATGTGCTCGTAATTGTTTTATGTACAATTTGATTTAGTATTATTAGTGTGTAATTTTATAATTGTGTTCTTAGTTGATATTGTAAATCTCTAATTATGTCCTTGATAATTTATGTATTTGATTTAATATAGTAATTGAATTCTGAGATGAATGAAATGGAATTAATGTTTGTTTTTGTACATGTTAATATATATTTTTGGTATACTCTATTTCTTTAGTTGAATTAGATGCATCATTCTAGAATACTCAGCTTGACCTGGTATACTCAGTTTGATAAACCTAGACAATAATTATAGTAACATTAATGAATTAGATACATCATTTTGACAGGCTAAGTCAATAATTCTGGTATACTCAATTTGACCCGATATACTTGGTTTGAAAGACCAATTGGATGCATCATTCTTATATTGTTTCGTGATTTGGATGTGTCAGTTTTGCATCAATTCAACATGAATAGCAACATCAATGAAC